CCTCCCAGGTGCCCGTCCGCATGATCCGTTCCGTTTGCCGGCTCTTGCCCCGCGCAGGCGACACTCCGGGGCGTTCCACTCCGTTCCGTTCAGCTCTTAATCCCGCGGAAGCCATCTCCATAAATTTAAAATCCACATAAAGGCGCGGTGAGCGGCTCGATTTGAATGTCTAAGCAGCCCGGCCCCGCCCCGAGCTCGCCCCGCCTCAACCATTGAACCCTCTCCGTCCCTTCAGCCTTGGCCGGGCTCCGCCAGCTCGCTCCTGCTGCAGCCGCCGAGTCCAAACAAACGACTCATATTTTCCACGGTGCGGTGCATGTGTTCGATAGCGGCAGCACGGGGTACCATGTAGCGGAGTGGGACCGTGCGCAGTGGCGGGGCGGAGTGGCGGGGCGGAAGGAGGGGCACTAAATTATTCAACGAGCGCGAGCAGCATGAATCGAAAGGTCAGGAGCAGTGTCCGACACACAAGGGCGAGTGCGAGCTTCGTCGTCCTCTTCGTCCTTTTCGTCCCTTCCCTCCTCCTCCTCCTCTACTACCTCTTGGGGCCCTTCTGCATCTTCTTCCTACACGGCCTGTCACCTTCTCCCTCCCCCCTCTCCCCCTACCTCTCTCTCTCTCTCTCTCTCTCTCTCCGTCTCTCTCTGCTTTGCCAACGCCCTCCTCCTCCCTCATGCGCAGCGTCCCCGGGTGCTCTCAGGCACCTGTCCCGTCTCACCCTCTAGAGACACGCCTGACGACTCGGCGACGTGGAAGCGCGCACACCGCCCCGCCCCCTGCTGCCGCGCGCGCGTGTGTGGTGTGTATGTACGCGCGCGCGCGCGCTGACACGACTTGCGTGCGTGACGCGTGCGTATGGATTTGCCGCGTCGTTGGGCAGGAGGAGAGCAGCGGCAGGAGGGTTGGCACGACTGGAGGATCGTTGACGCGGACGAGGCAAAACGTTGTTGTTGGGCAGAGCAGGTTGGCGTTGTTGGTCGTTGGCGTGGCGAGCATGATGGCGTTTGGGACATATGACGCGCTTGTGGTGTGCGCGAGGGGTACATATTTATAAATTCAAGCGCATTCCGATTTTTCGTGACATATTCTATTAAATCTCAATTTGATTTTGATCTGCTCTAGTATCCATCCTTGGTTTTCCTGATTTTTATCTCATATTTTTCGAGGGTATAAACTATAACTGTTTAAAAAGTAAATCACTCGTCGGTTGTGCTGGCTGCAGCAGAGCGTAAGGTCGGGCGGGGTCGGCGGCGGGTTTGGCGCGGGTACGACGACCCCTCGCGGGTCGGTGCACCTGCTCTGGGCGCCTCTCTGGGTCAAGGAGCGGCGGGTCCCCGCGGCGCGGGGGTCGCCGCTCTACCGGTTCCCCGGCGCGGCCGGCGCGGCCCCTGACGGCCAGGCCGGTGTCGTAATCTTATTAACCAGAGAGCAGCTCGGAGGAGCGACCGCGGCGCTGACCGCAGCAGCGCGGTCAAGCTCGGAATTAAAAATTAGTGGGCGTTAGTCAATACACGGAAGGCGGCGGTGGCGGCGACGCGGGGAGTTTGAACCCGCGACCGGCGGTGAGTGAAACTCCAAACAAGTCAAGAGAAACACCGGCGCGGCGGGTTCATAATTATTACAAACGAATCCTAATTAATTACTTTTCGGGCGCTCGGGCTCGCCTGCAGTGCGGTGCAAGCGCCGGCCGACGTTCCTGCAGCTCGCTATCCTTGAGCGGGGCGGGGAGCGGAGTGGGCTGGGCGAGGAGTGCGTGGGCGCGGGAGGAGGGAGCGTCAACCTCTCTCCTCCCTCTCCCCCTCTCTTTCCCTTTCTCTTCTCTCTCCCTCCCCTCTCTGTCAAACCTCACCTGGAGGCACGCATTCCACAGCCAGGACCGTAGTGGCACACAGTATGTCCTGGCTGGTTCACGAGTATGGCTAGGCAACGTCGTATGAGCGTGGCGCGGCGCAGCGTGGCGCGGCGTGGCGGTGTCTGGGAGGCTGCGGGTCCAGCCAGCCCCGGCCGAGCGGCCGCCGCGCCGACGGGATGGTTCAACGACCGCCATATCGTTGCACAGAAAAGGCTCACGAAATAACCCCACGAGCGCGTTTATTGCAATCAGCATAAAGGCGGCAAAACTCTGCGCCGCCACGGCCTTTATTTCGGCACATGCGGAACCGTTTGGTTGGCTCGCCGGGGACTGCTTCCAAACCCAATCAGCACGGAGTGCATCCGCTGTTTATGTAAACTTTAACGTCTCTTGGCGACCAGTGCAGCGTTTCACTGTAAAATGTGTTTCTGCCAAGTTTTTTTTTGCATAAAAAGTATACGACAAGACCTAATTAAGGGAAATTGAAAGAGCACGACAAAAATAATCAAGAGCAAAAAAGAAACATTTCTCTCCTTACTATTTCGGCGCTACATGTGCAAAAAAACGCACTGGTTCTGATTTTGGCGATACGCGCAAAACAAGTTCATAAAAAACGCTGACGACACCGCGGCCCGGATGCGGGCGGGCAGATACTTGGCAGGGTAGCGGCCCCGCTCCGCTCCAGGTACTCGGAGCACGCGACATAAACGGCTGCTGGAGGCTCCAGCCCCGGCCCCAGCCGGCGGGCGCTGGACTGCAGGCTCATCGGGGAGACACAGCAGAAAATCATAAAACAATGCGGGATGCACCCACTGAGGTAAAAAGGGAAGGTTTGTCTCCTTATATCTGCACATACCTACGTTCCAAACAATTGGGCAGGGTACTGTTCGCAATAATTAATTAAGGCTGGAAACAAAATAAACGGATTTTATCTGGGAAATAATGCCTTTCTTTCGCAGTGCGCCGCCGCCAGGACTATGACTTGCAGGGAACCTGCCGTGTTGAGCCGTAGGATCGGCTTAAGCCCTAGGCTGTTTGCACGTGCCCCCCCCTCTCTCTCTCTCTCTCTCTCTCTCTCTCTCTCTCTCTCTCTCTTTCTCTCTCTTCCTGTTTCTTTACACTGGCCGCCCCCTTTTGCTCCAACACCTCCACACAAAGCAAAAAGAGGAACAGCGTAAAACGAAACACGTAAAACAGATGAGTCTAATTTCCAAAGTTTTCGGGTAGAAACGAATCAACGGTGCGCTACAGCAGCAACAAGAACACACAGCAAACAATGGCGACAAAGGGAAGACCTTACGTCGAACACGTCCGCTGGAAAACCAAATTGTTTAAAATGTTTGCGAAAAACTTTCCCCTTTTCCAGCACTGCTCGTTCTGCTCAACACTAAAGGCGCACTAGCGATTCGCACCTCCTCCTCCTCGGACAAGGTTGAGCCCCGGTGGTGGTTGGTTAGGCCCCTGGGCTAACAAGTTCCCCCCTTCACACGGCACGGGACAACAAAGGGCGGCGGCGCGTCGCTGCGCGCGGGGCAGAGAGCCGGGCAGAGCCGGGCAGAGCGGCACGGCGGGCGCATCTCAAGACCGGGCCCGACACTTCTGCTCAAGTTAGTCCGCAGCGACTAATTAAAACTTGGGCCCCCGGAAAGGAGAGGGAGGCGAGGAGAAGAATGAAGGGAAGAGAGGGGAGAGGGGGGGGGAGAGGGGGAAATGCGAGGAGGACAAGTCTAGGTCGGTCTTTTCGCACCATTCTTTTCGTGGACGAGGTGGTGTTAACGCCCCGGAGCAAGTCTCTGCCAAGGACACACGTGTTTCCCGTGTTTCTTTCCTACTTTTCCCGTTTGAAAAAAAAAAAAAAAAAAAAAAAAAAAAAAAAAAAAAAAAAAAACACCAACCAACAAAACCAGCCAAACAGATTAATTGATGGTTTGTAATTTTTTGTTATTTTTAGGGGGCGATTTTTTGGTCACTAAATTGTTACGCACTCACTGAACCGTACAGCTCCAAATTTCCCCTTCCAGTAAAGGGAGAAAAGGAAGGGGTGGAGTGGAGTGTATCATTACCGGACGCGTCACTTCACCTGGGATGCGGTGGGGAGGGATAGGGTGGGCACGTGTCTTAAAAATACGATGACATGAAATAAAACCATGATAAAGAGAGAGGGGAAAGGCGGGGAGGGGGGGGGGCGAGAGGGATAGCCAGCAGTGGGAGCTAGTAGGGAGCCAGGGCGGGGGTGGGCTGGGCAGGGTGTAGAAATAACCAGGCGCGGGGGGGACCGGTAACCGCAGCCCCAAGTGGCACGGGGGAGGAACTGGGGTGGAAAAGTAGACGAAGTAGACAATGCGGCCGTGGTTTTCCGTCTCGTCCTCGCGTCCACCGGTCGGCCGGCCGAGGGGGGCAGAAATAGCCCCCGGCCCCGGCGCGGTCAGGTCGATAAGAAAAGATCGGCGTAAAGCACTACATGGATCGGCGAAGAAATGGAAGACAAACTCACGGCTTTACAGACCGCCCCACGACAAGAAGACTGCGCGTTTTCTCTCGCTCCCCCTCGCTTCCTCGAAGGACGGTAGGCCGCCGCACGCAGGCGGTCGAACCCTTACAAGAGAGGCACGGGGGTTTCGGTCTGGTCAGCAGAGGGCTGAGTGTTCGCGCGTAGAGAGAGGGGTAGGCGGGGGAGAGGGGGCTGCTGGGTTATGTCACGGCTACTTGAGCACGTCCTAGCGAGGCCACTTAGGCCCCCCGGGCGTCACATGGTGATAATGGAGCCCTTGGGCCAGGGCGCGGCGGGGGCGGAGCGCGGAGCCGAGCGAGCGAAGCCGGCCGCCGCCGGGGCTCCAAGTCAGACGGGGTGGAACTGACGAGTCAAGCGAGCGCGGAGGCGGAGGAACTGTCAGGACCGGGACCGTCCTGTGGCTGGGTAGCAAAACCTTTAAACCAGCTATGCGATGGAAGTCGAGTATAGACGAAGGTCCGCGCCGATCTAATTCGCTCAGCACCTGAGCCCCCCCCCCCTCCCATGTCGTATACGACAGCTGCCATGACGTGCTGCTGGTGAAGCGAGGCGGTGTGGCGGTGAAGTCATCGCGCGGTGAAGTCGTGCCGAGTCGAGCCCGTGAGCAGTAGTGGCCGTTCGTGACGATTGGCTTACCGTAGTCGGGCGGCGCGCCGGCGGGCCCGGGGCGTCCTGCAACACACGTACAGTACCAGGTCAGCGACACACATACACTGGCAAAAACGAACTGCTCCTTCTTTGAAAACGCTCGTATACTTTAAAGTAAATTAATACAATTATAGACAACTTCTCGGACTCTTTCTGTTTTCTCAAGAAAGGAGTCGCCAAGACTTGTCGCAGACCGACTGGCTCTCGGGTGAGAACGGAGCGGGACGCACATACGAGCACATTCGGGGCTCGAGAGGAAAGGGCCGTAAAGGACCGCAGTCTTTCCTAAAAACGGGGGGGGTGGGGGGTACGGCTCGGAGACCGCCTCGCCCCGCCCCGCCGCGGGGGTTGTAGGGGACGCTCTGGGGGATGAAATTGGGGGGATGGAAGGAGGAGATGGGACGCCGGTGGCACGGGGCCAGCAACCTCTTGTGCAGCCGGGCACGCTTACTGGCGCCGGCGCCACATGTACCCCGACAGGCGAAAAAAACTCATCCCCGGAAGAAAAAATATTTGGAAGCGTTATAAATCACCGCAAACGGGGAGGAAATGTCGCGTGATCTGTTTTCATAAAGTTTTCTGCGACGCTATTAAGGCACGGAAGAAGAGAACGCGAATAACTGCACACAGTTTTGCAAAACGGCATATGCTGTTTACCGTCGGTATTTTCCTTAGGATTCGAAAACCTGCAATCCATATGCAAAGTATGACAATGTTATCGGCACGTAGAGGCGCCTGGGCGCGCCGACGGTCCGTGAGGCTAGCGCGGAGAAATATTGCACGGGGCGACAAATAGGATTTCGAGCGATGGCGCGTGGGTAGCGCTGGACTGAGAGAGTGTGTGTGAGAGAGGGGAGTGGGGGGCGAGAGGGGTAAGGAACGAGCAGCATTTACTCTGCACACTGCAAACCGCACTGCGAACTCTCCCCTCTGGGAGCCCAACAACAGCTCTTCTGCTCTCGCCTCCAATCACGGGTTAGCAGGCACGCCCAGAGAGCAGAGCGCCCCCCGCAGCAGCAGAAGCGACCCGTCTTTTCCACCCATTTTCCTCTTTTTGCTTCGCCTCCCTCGCTATCCACACGACGACGGCGATGCAGCGCGCCGCCCGTCCGGAATGCGCTAAAAGTTACGACCCTATGCTGAGCGGCGAAAGCGATAGCCACGCCTCCGGGGCCCTCCGGGGTCCTCCGGGGAGGAGAGGGTGCAGCTCGGGGCCCCCGGTCGCCTTAAACACGGCCCCCGCCTCGCACGGCAGAAAAATACCATCGGGATGGTCAATTCTTAGAGTGGCCGTAGTAGCCGCACTCCTGGTCTGCTCCAGCCCAGCATTAAGTACTAGATGGCTCGTGAAAAAACAACAACAAAAAATGCCAAACTGAAAGTGTTACCTCTGTTGTTAGGGTCATGCGGACCTCATACTCTATAAATGTTCGATGGGAAATCGTTAGCAAGCACCAATCGAGTTACTACAGACAACTTTCGAAAAGAAAAAGTACCTTTTTGGTGAACAGCCTCCTTTAACGCACAGGAAAGGCCGGGAAGGGCGTGGGGCGCGGGGATAGGAGCCGTCAGTAGCATAGCTGCCTTACGGTTATTCTCGTCTCATTTTTCTTTTACTTTTTTCCCAAAACGATGTTTGGTTAGCCGTGTGGCTCAAGGCGGTAGGTAGCGCGCCTTATTACCTTATCTCTCGAAAACAACTCTATTATACCCGCCGCCTGCCCCCTGCCCCACCCGGTCCTGCCCCCTCTCTGAAATGCTTTCACTGAGAGCACAAAAAAAGGAAGGAAAGACAACACAAAAATTATTATTGAAATGAAACAATCGCAGTGAGGAATACGGACAAAAGGTTCCTCCTGTACTTTCCACGGCAGCAACAAATCGTCCGAGGCGGGTCGCCCGCTGAGAAAAGAAGAAGGCTGTTCTGATATCAGCTGTGCGGAGAAAACGGTCAGGTCTGAGCTGAAACGTCTTTCTCACGGTCAACGGCGTCATAAAAAGGGGGAGGAAGGGGGGCGGTCGGGTGATTAAGCCTTCGCGTCTCGGCGATCCTCGGTGTAGAGTAATTCGTTAATACCAGAACGTTCACTGGCGGCCAATTTGCATTTGCAGATTTCGGCCTCCGAGAAGCTCGGCACGTGGCGCGAATGCCCAGTATGTCGTCAAGGTGGTCTGCCTGCTGAGAGTTCTTAGTACGGATCTCAAGACGATCAGCTCATAGGGCTGAAACTATCAATAAGCACACCCAGAAGAATGGTGCCTTGTTTTAAGTGCATTCTGATATGAGATCAAAATTCACTCTAGAAACAAGGCAATATTAATAAGATTAGTCTTTTATAAGAAAGATTGATAACATGTGCTGCTTGATCCAAGAGTAAATTTGATCTTGTGTCAGCATTTACAGAAAGAAACACAGGAGATGAATCATTCCAAAACGTTGAGAACGCAGAGCAGTGGATCCTCCCCTCTCCAGCGGTGCTCTGTGACTCAGCACACGTGGGTCGGGCCGCACTGTGTCTGATCGGACGATATCGGGCGTCTACCGGCACGTCACAAAGTTCAAGAGCGGCGCCGTCGGTCGTCAAAGGATAAGAAAAGAAGCAACATGATACAAAAAATAAATAAAAAATGGAGCACTCGAAAGGAGATAGTGTTACAAAGGTTGCAAATAAGAAATAATCTCGAAGAGAGGCTGCCTTATCTCGATCACACTCGAAACCTTTGGCTATGTTGGGGCGTATCGGCAAAATCTACGCCATGCCGTGCCACGTACCACGCCACACCGCGTCCAGATAGGCTGACTTCAATAAAAACGGACAAAGTGGCTGTGATTTCGCGCTCCCCTTTCCGCCCACTCACGGGACTCGTACGACCGACGGGGAGCGTCCTTGAGCAGTACGAGTCCCAGGCACTGGAAATGAACACGCCCACGGCAAAAACTCGACCGCCCGCTTATATCTTTCTCAGCATTCTCGAAAGTACTCGGGGGAAAAAAATCACTGTAGCAAAAATTTGCAACTTCAGAACGACAGAAAGTTTACAGTTCTACACAGCACACACACTAAATAGGGGGGAGGGGGAGTGGAGTCTACATCAGGTACATATATTTGCCACAAACAAAATAAAGCATTTGTGCCTGGCCCAGGTACAATTTGTACCTCCTTACAAAAACATTTGTACCTCCTTACAGAAACATTTGTATCTGATGAAGATGTACACAAGGCGAGGCACCTAACCCAGGTACAAAAATTGTCCCTCCCCATTTAGAGGGTACTTCTTAAATTTTCTCCTGTAGTGGAGAAATTTTATTTTAATTTTTTTGCGGTTAGTTTAACACAGACCACCCCTCGGCGGGAACTACCCCGTCCCTCAACTGCCTCCACCCCCAGAATCGTGGCTGCGTTATAATTATGTATTATTATCACGCCCGGCCGGGGATGAGCAGAGCGCCGCCATCCCTTCCAAATTACAAGCGGGGAGAGAGAGTGGGGGGTGGGGGGGTGGGGGGGCGGTGGAGGAACGTAGGCCCCACCCCCACGCGGCGCCGGCAACAACAAAACTGGGCGATTGACAATCTATAATAACTTGTCAGTCACGCAAAAACATCGTTATCACAAGCCGGCCGGCGCGAGGCCAGCACGGCGCGGGGCGCCGCTGCTGCGTGCTGCCATGGGACCGGCGTCTTTTGAACTTCACTCCACCTCCACCTCCTTGTCCTTCCCACCCCAAACGCCCAGCTCCACCTCCTACTACTTCTTCCGAGCGTCCCCATTCACAGAAACCCCCTCATCTCACAACAGCTAGGATTATGGATGCACAACGGATCACAATTAAGTGCGCTAGAACACGAGGGACCTACACAGAATGTGGTGAAAGAAGGGGGTGGGGGAAGAGAGAAGGGGGAGAGAGGGAGAGAGAAATGGAGTGCAGCAGGTCGGTCGCGTGCTCGCCTCGGCAGGTACAGCACGACCCTGACCGTCAAGTCCGCCCGGTGACTTTGATGGTGCAGTCGATATATCGATTGCTCTGGAGTCGACCCCTCGGGGCAGTGGGCCCTCGCACGCGACAACTGAGGGCTACACGGCCAACAACCGGGCTTAGGAATTTTAATTTTCCAAAAAAGTATTCTTCAAAACCATGTTTTAATGTTTTTCTTAAAAGTTTTAATTTTTTAAATTTTTTTCTGGAAGGATTTAATTTTACTTCAATTTTTTATGGAAAGTTGGGAGGGGGGTGAAGGGGGAGGGCAGAGCGGGGTTCCTGGGCGGGTTGGCTGCGTCCACATCAAAGTTGCGAGGCTCTGCGAGGCCCAGAGTTAGACCGCCTGGCCGTCGGGCTGACGGGCCGGGCAGGACAGCGTCATGGAGTGAAAGAGGATCACAAATAGCACAGATCTTTGTCTATTTCATGGCCACACGAGATTCTCAAGAAGAAACGCGGTCGGCGACAGGTCTGGTTTCGGCCGTCGGACTAACTGTCATGTCTGTCTAGGCTAGGGTAAACACATTACCCAAAAATTCGAGTCCCCCCAAAAAATGAGGGGTTAAAAAAAGTGTCTTGGTACTAGGCAATGGAGCGGCTGGGTGGACGGATGCCTCGTCCTGCCCTCGGCGCCACGTCCTGGACGGGTGGTACGGCACCGTGACGGTCAACTCGAATCGGAAATTACTCTTCTCTTTCTCTCTCTCTCTCTCTCTCTCTCTCTCTCTCTCTCTCTCTCCCCCACCTTTCCCTCCCCCACCCTTCCTTTCGCCTCAGTGCAGCCTCTCCTTGTGTCTGGTCTGTGTCCGTCTACCTGGCGGTCACTGACCAGGCAGGAGCACTCTTACACTGAGTGTACAAAAATGTGTTTAAGCGACATAGTGTATAAGGTATCGAGACTGCCCCTAAGATAAAGCAAAGTGAATTTTGTTTGAAGAAGGCACCAACAAGAAGTTAGTTTAATTAATCAGTAACAATTATTAGAGAATATACAGAAAATATGAAATATTTTACACAAGCACAAAATGAAAAATTGTCAGAAG